CTTTCGACACGTGGTTATTGCACAATTTGCCGTTTTAAAAAAAATTGCATACAGCGACGCTTGAGATGAAAATCGGAATCATCGGAATCGGAAAAATGAATCTATTGATTATGTTGACATTTATAGGTGTGAATTGACATGTTACTGAAATGTTAGTGACTGCACGGGCTCCGCCTAATCCACCGTTCCATTATGTACGTATTATAGTGTTCTATAGAAATACCTCACAGCCGATAATTATACGGGCTCTCGACATTCTTCAAGCCGAAAGACAGTTGGCAAGCACTGCTGTTGGCGGCAGGAATAGTTATTAGTTAGGTACCTATGCAGACTGACTTCTAGGTAGAATTGGAACTCTACCATCTAGTAAAAGGTAGACATTGATCTCTTCTATAGATGTAATTAATCAGAATCCTCACACTTATAGATTCGCCTCTCCAGTACCAGATCTTTTATGTGTTTAGTGCTGTTTCTCGTTGCTTAGATACATTAGATTCCGTTTATGAATTGGACCATACCGCAAGGGTGGGCCGTGAAATTGTGCATTACCATCATCGTTCTACGACCTCGCCGCTGATATTAAGGGGACTCTGACCCCATACTATCCAGGTGGATATTAGGGATGCTTGTTAAGAGTAGTCTGTGAATCTTTAATACATTATTTAAAAATGTTAATTAAAATTATTCCTAAATATTTCCTACAGTTTTATGACGGCATCAATATGTCCTCGGTCTAAAGGAAATAGAATTCCATTCTAACGTTAAAGTAACAAACATAAAAACAGTCTTCGAAATGATTAAGAAGCCCCTATGGACTACAGGGTATAGGCACCTTAAACTTATTTTGAAAGGAAAGTTACAGATTGATTGTTATCCATAATGTCTATGATGGAATGGTCTTCATACCCCCCTATGCTGGAACTTGGAACTTAGCAGTAAATGTACTATTTGGCCACAGGAATAAACAGGTGCATACCTAAATGGACTCTAAAACCGAAAATACTTCTATTTTATCAAGGAATCTGTCTGGTACTGTCTCGTATTCTATAATTTAAAGATATTACATGATGCTAGGCCACGACTGCAGACGGATGACCTAATCGTTCAAATTGAGAACAAAGGAATGAAACTGCACTTTTCATATAACTTCTTTTGCTTATTTTTGTAAATCATCAGTTATAGGCACCCCGAAAAAGAGTTTAGAGGCAGACTAAGACTAACTCCATCCTTAAACAAATAATTATAAATTAATTCAAATGAAATCGAAAGTGATGGAATATCTTAATATGAAGTTAATAACATTTTAGTTTTTATAATAAAACTATTTAAGAACTAGTTAAGAATTATTACTAATTCTTATCTAGTTCGTAATTATAAACTAACATTAAGAATTATTTTTTTTAAACAAATAAATATAATGCACAATTTTCACGGAATAATTACTATAGTCGAAGTTGCCAGCCAATATTTATATTAATTCTTTTTGAGTATAAGTTTATTTCTTCATTATGTGGATATATTTTCTATTTTCTTTTAATCAAATAAATAAATAATTGTGAGGAATATGAAAAAAAAAAAGAAACGTTTGAAAGTTCCTAAAAGGAAAAAGTGGCCCTATTTTTAAATGTTATATTTACAAAGTAAAATGTCAGCCGAAAACTTGTTGGGGGGGGGGGGGTCCGAGAGAGAGTTTCTCGGTCTGCGCACACTATAGCGAGTGTGGGTAGGGGCTGCATAGGCAGCTGTCTCACGAATGAGATGATTTGGGTGGGACTCTGAGGCTTTGAAAAATCTCTCAGAGAGTGATTTAAGGAACTGCTGGATTGTTGGGAGCTCTAAGTCTCGGTGTAGGTCGGCATTACGGACATAATAGGGCGAGTTAGTGGCCCTACGACAGAATAGATTTTGAACTATTTGAAGTTCATTTATAGCTTTGGGCTTAGCATGTGCGAAAATGGGGGCTGCGTAGATCATGTCAGGTCGTATGCAGACCTTATATAGGGTTCGCTTGTTGCGGAGGGACATTTTACTGTGTCTGCCCAACATGCTGTTGAGCCTACCCATGTAAAATCGTGCGGTGCGTGTAACCTTCTTGATATGGGGTTCGAAAGTGAGCCTTGCATCAAGGGTGACGCCTAAATATTTGGCTGTAGTTTGCCATGGGACAGGGGTTCCTAACATCCTGATTGGCGGAGTGGTGGTGAGACGGCGTCGTTTATATTCGAAGCAAACGGCGGAGCTCTTCTCCGGGTTTACGTCGATACGCCATTTTTGGAACCAAGCTCCTAAGTCGCTTACTGACTTTTGGATCTTGTTCCGAATCTGTGGCAGTGAGTTGCCTTTAGAGTAAAGGGCTGTGTCATCTGCGAAGAGGGCTAGTTTAACACCATTCGACGGGATAGGGATGTCGTTGGTGAATAGTATATATAGGAGGGGGGCAAGCACGGAGCCTTGAGGGACACCGGCTTTGATTTGACGAGTAGAGGATAGCGTGGCTTCGTGTCTAAAGCGAAAGGTACGATCCTTCAGATAGGAGGCTACAAGGCGAACGAGACGGTCTGGGAGGCCTAAGTCGTACAATTTGTAGATGAGGCCCTCGTGCCAGACTCTGTCGAATGCCTTGGCAATGTCGAAGAAGACCGCGATGGTTTTTTGACGACGAGGATAAAAACCGCTGAGGACATATTCCACTATGCGTTGAACTTGCATTTTCTCAAACCCAATTGTTTGATGACGGGTCGCCGTCTGTGAGAAACAAATGGCGCCTCATGCGCACGCGAATGACTCGTTCGAAAAATTTGCCCATGGCCTTGAGGAGGCTGATGGGACGGTGATTGGAGGGGAGGTGGTGAGGTTAGCCTGGCTTGGGAATGCCAATGACAGTTGCCTCTTTCCAAGAGGTGGGAAAATAGCTGAATTCGAAGCAGGCGTTGAAGATTATGGCCAATAAGGCGATAACCTGCTCCGGAAAGTATTTGAGGGCTTGGTTGGAGATGCCATCCGCACCCGGTGCTTTTTCGGGCTTAAGTCCTTTGATGGTAGATGAAATCTCATCTTTGGATACAGTGACAGAGTCAGAGGCAGTAGAGGGTGAGTTCCGGAGACGGACCTCGTCCTCCAGTAGTTGGATGTGTATGGGATCAGTGGGTTGTGAGCTGAGAGAGCATTGAGCGGCTACGCTGTCGGCGAAGCACTCAGCCTTTTCTTCGTCCTCGAAGGCAATAGAGCCGTCGGGACGAGACAGAGGGGGAGTATGGGTTATAGCGTCTATCCGGAGGGCTCTCGCCATCTGGTAGTACGCTGTGTGGGAGGGATTTTCTCCATGAGATTGCCCCTTTTGAGGTCTCTGTAATCTTGGAGGCGGTAACGGAGTTTGCGTTGAAGGCGGTGGACCGCAAGGGATAGCAAGCAGCTCTACGGAGGGCAGCCTTTTTGGCTTTTAGCAGGTTGCTAATATCTAGGGGAAGACTAGTTTTAGCAACCGGGAAAACCTTTTCATTCTCTTTAAGAGAGGATGTTATTATAAGTGAGGTGAGATTTTCGACCGCGGTGTCTATTTTCCCCGTACTGTCGAGGACGTCGGAAGATAGGGTTATGGGAGGGTCCGGAGAGTCTATAGCCGAGGCTAAAGACTTCTTGAAGCCCTTCCAGTTGGTGAGTCATACATCTAATGCAATGGACAGTACAAAGTCTGCCCAGCTAGCTAGTTTGATATAATTTGATATTTTTGAGACTCGACTGGGGAAGTACCACGCTCTCACAGAGTACCAGTCTGAAACGAGGCATTTCATCTTAGTCCTCAGGATTAGCAACGCTTCCGCATTTTGATTCTTAATCGAGGATGTAGATGATAGGATATGTAGATGTTTATGGGCCATAGAATCCACTTACCATCTGGCGGACTGTGTGCTCGGTATCACCCTTTCTATAAACAAAAGAGATTTTTAAAGTCCCACTAAGATTTTAAAGTTGGAATGAATCTGAATAAGCTCGTTCGAGCATATTCAGATTAATTCCAAATGTCCTAAAACTTGCCAATATTTATGCAAAGAATTAGGATCGTTCACTGAGAGTGAAAAATACGGTGAATGCCTACCTATATTGGTTTTTTACCAACTTGTAGCAGTCCACAGCTAGAAAATATACTAGTTAAAACTAATATTTAGATAATATACAACATAATACACGGATCTCTCCCATTGTATAGCGGTCAAACATCGTCTAGGATTTTAACGCATCCCTGTCTCCGGTTTTGATATTTTCAATTTGGTATATAGGGGAGTTGGGGGAATTGGGAGTCACTTAAGGAAAACTCGTTATTATAATCACTAATAATCAGTCTTATAATTTATTCACATTTACTTATCTTTAAAAACTATTCAGGTATCGAGTTACTTAAGTATTTTTGGTTATCATTACCATAAACATAATTATAATTAAAAAACCAAAAAGTCATTTTGGCTCCTATTACCCACATGTAAGGGGAATGAAAGTCAGTCTATGAGGGAATAAGAGTCAAAATTATGAAACAAAAAAAGTAACAAAACTCTTTAAACAAACAAATAAGAATTAACAAAATCAAAAGTTAGAAATGGTTACCCCATGGAATCATAACACAGAATGGAATATAAATCGAGTTTAATGCAAAAATCACAGCGATAGCGATTTGGATCATCACATCCTGTACATGCCTCATGAGCCCATCCAGCACAGAGACGGCAACGGTACCAGATTTATCTCAGTATTCCCTCTTCGAGGCATATCGTGCACACAGGCTGATCACGCTCTTTCTGAGTGTTTTTCTGGATGTTTAGCGGGATTTCAATATTTTCTAAGTCACTATCAGCACTCTCGTCATACGGAACCTGTTCATCAGCCGATTTTTCAGATGAACTTGACTTAAATAAGTTCTTTTTAAGTTCTTTTATCTTCTTAATTACTTTGCCTCTTGTATGCAGTAAGAATTCCGGATTGATGTGTTTTTTTTCCTATGCCTTTACCTTTTTCAATGCTAGGCAGAGGTATTAGTTGTGAAAGTACGCTAGCTAGAGGTTCACTGTCGGATTTATTGTTATCTTGATTTATACTATCATTTGGTTTATAATTTGTAATATCAACACTTGTAGAAGGTTGCGGTCCTATAACGTTCCTACTGCTAGTTGATGCTGTTGCTTCTGAAATGTTGTTAGTTGAATGGTTATCTGAAACTTCATTAACTCTTAAAGTCTGTTATGGTGGCAGAAATATTTTCAACACAGAGAACATCAGAGGATTTAGTCACTTCGGTTTTATTAAATCCTGCAATTCTCTGTATACTTACAGCTTCAGGATTTCGAATGCTTATTCGTAGATTTTTCTTAAGAAATCCTTGGATCCAGTCCCTGCCAGCCATTCTAGCATCTCTATTAAATTTATGAGATAGCTTTAAATTTTCAGCACATTGAAATGTTATTTTTCTTAGTTAATATGTCGTTAAACCAACAAACTTATTTTCTTGCTCTTCGTTAAAAACGGCATGCCTTCCTAATTTTAGAGGTTTAAATATATCTTTCTTTATCCTTCTTTGTAATGTGCTGAAAGGAATACGAGTTTCCTCGGTAACTTTGCGCATTGCCGCCTTGTCTGATGCATACAGCAGCTGACTGCAAGTCGCCTACAGTCCAACTCGCTTTAAAGGTCTTTCTAATCCAGTTCCTTGACGTCTGAAATGAACAAAAATGTTTATATATAATGAAAAACGATGCGGGAAATGGGGGTCAACTAACTCTCATTACCCCAAGGACGGTTTGTTTGCTAGATTTGAATTATTAAATAAAAACACCAAAAAAACTAATAAATTGCAATTATAAACATAAGTTTAGTCTTATTACTACACTTTAAGATTATTTTATATGCAAAAGTAACAAATATAGATACTCACGTTTTCGATCGAAATTTCTAAAATTTTACAACGGCTCCTCCTCTATGACACATGTGTTGTTCCTGATGACGCGAGGGTGAGTGGCGGGCCGGCGTATTGGCAAGTGCGAGAGGGGTGCGGAGCTACACCCCATGCGACAGAGCTGTATTCTGTAAAGCTTTAGGTTCAATTCATTTTGAACTGACCCGCATTGCCCACTGACTACCATTCCCCCTGGCTCCCCTACGGGATAAAAAAAGATAAATTTTATCTGATACTGGCTGATACCCGGTGCATTGCTGCCGCAGAAGAAATAATTGTGGAGATATCCTTTTAAATTTGGAAAGTTATATTGTTTAATTAGTAATGATAATACATGAATTGAAGTTGAATTATAAGCAACTTTAAAAAAAATTTTCGGTACGATACGCGCGCCATCTACTGATAATTGTACTATGCCTATTACCTACGCGCACGTGTCGGCAATAAGTTGAAAAAGTTTTACCGCAATCTGATGAACGGTATAAATATAACGGTATAAATACGAACAAACGAAATATTTTTTTATATATTAGATATATAAAAATATTTATAATATCTCTTAGACAAGTTCTGCGAACGAACATTTCTGAGAGTCTTATACTCGTAGTATTGTTATTTTAGAATTTCCGTCGATAATAATTGGCACGCTTACCGATTTAGAAATGCAATTAAAATGCGCGGCGGGCCTTTGCGGCAAATGTTACAAAAAGCAAATAATTTCAGAGCCATAAATTTCTCTAAGTTTAACAAAACCGCGTTATTAGTTGTTAATCGCGGTCCTGTTTAACAATGGTGTGAGGGACCGACTTGAAAGCGCGGCTTTGCACTTTGTCGGTACGTTTTAGTCCCGCTTTTTGTTCATATTGACGGTCCAACGCAATGACCACGCGGATGTATAGTCAGTGCTATAGGTTTTGATCCAAACTTACTTTATATTTTGTTACATTATTATTAACGAAGATTCAGTGGACGAAGTACCTGACTAACGATTCACCATTCCTGTGTAAAGTCCAATTACAAAATATCGCGAAAAAGTATAGTTACCACCGAAATTGTAATGACAAAATGTAAAAAATCCTGCAAAAGCTGACATACGATATTTTGTTATAATATCGTGGTATAATAGTTTCAAGACATTTTACTGTTTTTAAAAATTTTATCGTCTTGATTATGCGATTTATGAATAATTTACTTTTTAAACATATGAGTTTATTAATAATAATATATTTTATTAATAATTATATATTGGAGGTAGTTGTAGCACGAATGGGTTGGTTCGACCGGGGAAGGACCACACTCTCACAGAATACCAGCGAAAATAGCAGCTTAACGCTGCTGTGTTTCGTATGGTAAATGTAAAGAACCGGAGACCATTTTTACTTGAAACGTGGCATTCCACTTAGTCCTCACGGGTGACAACGCATCTGCATTTTGTTCGTAATCGAGGAATAGATGTTGATGTCTATAGGTCACAGCAACCACTTAACAGCAGGTGGACTGTGTGCTTGTTTGTCACCTTTATGCTATAAAAAATGCGTAGTTTTAAGGATGTAAAGAAGCGGGAGAAGTTCTGCTTCTATGCTTACCCCTCTGGGTGACAGGTGCGAGAGTTTAATGTATGAATTTATTTTACAAAATATGATATATTCATATATTATAAACACAAACATTATAATAAATTTTGAAAGACTTTTAGTTATTAATTTCAATGTTGAATAAAAGTCTATTAAATGCTTTAAATATTTTTGATAGTTAATTTTTGAAATAGAAACAGAAACCTTTTTATTCAATATATGTAGATTATAAAATAATAATTATTGAAAGTCACTTTTTTTAATTTACCAGTGGTTCGAAAAAAAAACTCTGTCCTGGGAAGAACCAACAAGAAACCCAGCGGGACTTTTTTAAATAACATCTTAGGAACATGTATGTTACAATTAACAACACAAAACCAATTAGAAATAGGTTGGTAGCGATCACCCTTCCCAGGGGTTATTATCATCCATAAATTCCCTAATATTATAACTCTATTTTATACAAATATAGTTTAATAAAGATTTTTAATATTGTGTAGGCCAAATTTTGTATATTTTCTGGGATTTTGTCCTAAAATTAATTGAGTTTAACAAGCCTAACAAAGATATCCCTTTTGTATCAATTTAACTGAGGCACGCTATGGGGTGGTATTTTGCAGTCATCATATAAAGTTTTTGTATATTATGGTTACAGGTTGCGTTTGCCTTTTTGTGACGAAATTGATTTCACTGTGGTCAATAATCACACAACTATGACTTGACATTTTTACTTTTAATTTTCTTAATCTGGCTCAGTAGACGTTGTTTGGCTCTTTCCGGCAGGTGGCGCAATACGTTTATAAAAATTATTAATCACTCGACCACAGCGCTCCTATTGAGTCCGGATTTTGTAATTTTTTACTAACATTAAACAAACATATTGTAAATATGAGTCATTTTGGTCCAATAATAAAGAACTTATTGAAAACTTGACTACAGCACCCCCTACAGTATCTTTGAGTAGTTGGGATCCTTTGGCTCGACAAAAGAAATATAATAGTTATATTAAAATGACCCAGGTTAAGTCGTTGAGAAGCTTCACGTGCACTAAATCACTAATATATACGATTTTATAGTAAAAGATCAACTTAAACGAAATGATAGAGATACAAAATAATTATAGGTACTTGCAATGAAAGGTATATTCGGCCCGCCGAATACATAATATTCTGCGGACTTTCTGTCCTAATAGAAGGAAGTACCTAGTGTTTATTCTTCAGAGCTTCTATTTTCCGAAGCTGGAATTGTCTACTAGAAGAAAAAGGAGTAAACTGCTACCTAAAAATGAAGAAAAATTAGTCTCTTTCACCATTATCTTCCACTTTAATTGCGATAATTAAAGTTCATACACATTTGTCCGATTTTTATAATATGGAAGTTGTGTTGTGTGATTAGGGTCAATGTACTATTAGCTGACCATGCACCAATAGTTGACCAAAACACAAATAAAAACCAATTTTAACGTAAATTGGTGGGATTTAATAGCAGTTTTATTTTTTGCATATTGACATCATTATTATAGTCACGTGGTATACGGGTCAGCTCGATATTGGTTGACCAATCAGAGTTCTTTGCAAGTTAAGATGGCACCCGGTAAGTACGCGTCTGATTCACTAAGGATGTTTATTATGGGTTTCTTGGTAAATCTTATTTAATCTAGTTGTTTTATTGTATATTTTTTGGTTGAATGTCATATGGATTAAGGATAATAGTTTATTTAAGTGCCAAAAGTGATATTTCTGCTGTTTTATGTGGATAATGGTTCCTCGTGGGGGTGGTTATCCTTTGGCTCCGAAATTTTAATCTGCTCCTAAAGCTGTCCACGGTGGTCAAGTATTGGCTAAAAGATATATTCAAGAATGTAAAGTTTTTTTTTATTTAACGCATTTATTTTGTTGATTCGTCAAATATAACCTAAAGATGATTGCTGTACAATGTGATTTTCCAATAGTTGACCAGTGTTATGTTTTGTGCTGTTTGCTGTGGTCAGCTTTAGGAACGAGGTTTCTTAATGCCTGTCCAGTTAAAAATTGGTGTTAAAGTGTGCAATTTTTTCTGTTTTCTTTTGCAGAAAAGAAAGGAAAGAAAAATGCGAATATATTGTGCTATCCAGATGCTGCTATGCAATCTGCAATAAAAGCAGTGCGTGACGGTACATTTAAAATACGAGAAGCTGCTAGACACTATGGCGTCCCACATAGTACTCTAATAAATAAATTAAAGGGAAAGGTACCTGAAAATCGAAAGATGGGCCGTGACACTTACTTAACTCAGGCTGAAGAAAATTTACTAGTTGCTTATATTATAGCAAACGCTAAAAGGGAATACCATTAAAACGCCAAACATTAATGGATACGGTAAAAAAATTATTAAAGAAGATAATCGCAAAACGCCGTTTAAACACAACTGTCCAGGTAGAAAATGGGTTGATTTATTTATGAAACGTCACCCGTAAATTAAAGAAAGATGTGCCGAAGGCATATCAACATCACGTGCCAATGTAACAGAATCTGACTTAAGAGGATGGTTCGATTCACTTAAAGAATATTTAGCAAGCGAAAATGCCCTCGAAATACTCGAAGATCCTACAAGGTTATACAACGCTGATGAGTCAGGGTTTAAGACTTGTCCTGAATCTGGTAGAGTTTTAGGACCAGTTGGAATGAAAAAATTTTTTGAAGTTAAATCGGGAAAAGAAAAGGAGCAACTTACTGTGATGGCCTGTTTGAATGCAGCTGGGCAAGTAGTTGCACCTATGGTTGTATATCCTTTGAAGCGTATATCCAGGGATATAGCTAATAACGTTCCAGCAGATTGGGCTATAGGAAAGTCTAATAAAGGATGGATGACAGCACCTCTGTATTTTGAATATATAGTAAATATAATATGGCTAAAGAACAATATGATTATGAAACCTGTTTTACTTTTAGTAGATGGGCATCGATCCCATTTGACTTTGCAAGTGGCAAAATACTGCGCAAATAATCAAATTCTCGTGCAAGCATTATTCAAAAATTCAACACACATATTACAGCCCGCTGATGTATCACTTTTCAAGTGCCTGAAAAGTGGCTGGCAAAATATCGTTTATGAATACAAAAGAAATAGCAGCAATAGACACATTACTAGAGCTGGCTTTGCGCCTCTCCTTTTAAAGGTATTTCAAGATAGAGTTACACCTGAAATAATTTCTAATGGTTTTAAAAGATGTGGAATCTACCCTTTTGACCCTTCAGCGGTAGATTATACCAAATGCATGGACCATGAAGTGCGTATAGTTGCACCAAAACTTGTAGAGACGGGAGTGGAAACAATTCTGTTGCTGGAATCTTTTATGAGGAAAGGTCGAGCAGAACAATTCAGACAAGTAAATGACGAATGGGAAGGTGAGGAATCCGCTAAGGAACTATTATAGGTGTGGAAAAAATTGCGCCAACATTGTATTTCTTCAACCTCTGCTCCTCTTCTTTGTGAAGCATCCATTGGAGAAGGTAGTGGCTGTTCTACGACTGCTGCGCCTGTGAACACAGAATATGAGTTACCTACTAATATGTCACCATCACTCTTACAACCATCGATATGCGCTCAAAATAGACGCACATCTACAGCGTCTCCAGAGATGGATATGATTGTGACTGATCCAGCCAGCAATCCGTTATCTATTACTGAAAACAAATTAGTTCAATCAGCCCAGGAAGCATCAATTTCAACACCCACCCTAGAAACTTGCAATTGGTCTAATAATGCGGCACCTGTGGACGTTTTAGATGGCAAACCTGTCGATATGACTCCGTCACTCTTTCAAACAACGCCAGGTACTCCAGTAATTCGGCGTTCATCTACTGTTCCAGAGGCAGAGATTGCTAGTAATGAACAAGGTAGCAACACAATTTCCACTTCTAAAAATAAATTAGTCCAGCTTATGTCCCAAAAACAAAAGCCCTGCATTTGGTAACCATATTTTATGGCCATCAGACTCTCCAATAAAGAAAAAAACAAAGGAACGCCTGCCACTTGCGGTGACATCAAAATATTTCATTGATTTGATTGATTACCTTGAAAAGAAAAAGAAGAAGAAAAGCAAAAGAAGTTAGAAGATATAGAAAACAGAAAAAGAAATCGAGATGAGAAGAAAACAAGCAAAGATAAACCAATTCGTTCACTCTCCAGTGACTCAGTAGAGAGAAAAAAACGTAAAGTCCAAGGCATAAGATTAAAAAAGAAACAAAACAGACTCATTATACGGAGTGATAGTGAGTTAGACGGTAACACAACTGATATAATAAATAAAGAAAATGAAAACAAACGAATAGAGGAACCCAAATCGAATTCTGAAGGCAAAATCTTAAGTATTTTATCTACTAAGAAAAAAGGAATATGTAAAGGAAATCATGTAATTATTACATATGAGGGAGAATATTTTCCAGGGCTTATTGAAAATGTTGAAAAAGATTTATTCGAAGTAAGCACTATGACTTTTTCCATGGGAAATACGTTTAAATGGCCAGAGAAGCCTGATAAAATCTGGTATCATCAAAAAGATGTGGTGGAAGTAATAAATGCCCCTGTGCTCTCTAATAAAAGAGGTTTTTATGTAGTAAAGGAAATGGACAAATATCTACCGTTTACTGTTTAAAATATGTTAGATTATGTTGATCTTCTTTTCAAAGCTTTTATTCATTAAAATTTTAACTATTAAACATTATTTACTTTGTAAATTTCGTTTTACTTACATGTCTCTGTATGGTCAACTAATGGTACATTGGCGGTCAGGCATTGGAGTTTGCTGGTCAACTAGTGGCGCATATATATATATATATATATATATATATATTTTATTTTATGACTTGATATTATGATAAATGCTTTTAGTAAAAAAATAATCTTTATATCTATAAACACACTAAAGGTTACACAATCATTTAATATATTTAAATTTGAAGTAAGTAATAAACCAAGTCAGCTGTACAGCTCATGGTAAAAAAAGCGCTTAACTGGTCAACTATTAGCACTTCAACCCTATGTACCTGTGAGCACTTTAATGATTGCAAGATTTTTTTTATATTATCTGTCTACATTAAAACGTTTTACTTAAGTAGGTACTCGGTATTCGGCCGAATTACCTAGATATTCGGTATTCAGCCGAATAAGATAAAAGTAGGTGAATAAGCCGAATATCCAATAAAATCCGAATATTTGTTGCAAATCTAAAAATAATGCAATATTTATTTTTATGGAATTTTAATGGAAAAGATACCATGATGTTTGTGACGGAACAGAATACGAAGAAGTAGTAGTAAGGTATAAAACTCTTTATTTATTTTGTTATTTTCATAATCCTTTATTCCAATTTTTGAAGACGCATGTGTACGAATATCCACTACTTTACATCGTCCCGTAAAGTGTAAGAGACATTATATTGAAACGAACTATGAAATGAACAGCACCCTTTCCCTAATATTAACTAGAAAATTTATTATTTATTTTATTTATTTAATGACATTTACAGAAAAAAACATTACAGAACAGTTCATAACTTCGCCAAACTGCAAAGACAGTTTGTTGGCGAATAAATGCACTCTTATATCCTATTACATAATTAAATTAAATAAGTACCCAACCCACGTAATATTACAAACAACTAGAAATTTAAAACATGAACGCAATAAATTCCACACTCTATCAATTCCAAATACAACACCCCACCCACATAACATTACAACAAAATAAAAATTGTAAATATACCCCGGATATATTTTGTTACAAACAAATAATATTTTTCTAAATGGTCATACATCTAGCATTTTATCCAAAAAATATTTCCCAAATTTCTTTTTAATTTTTAATTTGCAATTAGGTATATCTTGCCTTAGCCAATCTATTTCATTAAGAAGCTTTGGTATTAAATATTTTGTACATCTTTTACCATAGTAGTTTTTAACACTAGGCTGAAATAATTTCCCTTCTCTAACTTTTCTGGTTCTATATTTATTATCCAATTTTTCATTATAATTGTTTTTATTAATGTTTTCTAGAAGTAATAGCATGTTAACTTTGTGTTCTACCGATAAAATTTTACAAATAGAGAATAACTTAAAATGGGGAGCCTATGTCCAGTGTGGACTTCCATAGTCTGTAATGAATGGATGCATGTTCGGAATTCACATTATTCATATTAAAAAAAAAAAGTAATAATTCTGTTTCTTGTAAAAACACTTTCCATTCACAAACTGTCACAACGGATAGTTACCGTGGCCTGAAGAGTGACATTGTTCAACAAACAAATTAATTAACGCTTAAAGTTATCGCGGCAACGTTAAGTAAAAGACCGCAATACGATTTCGAAATGTCGAAGTCAATATTACATGCGCTGCTGTTAAGTTGGGGTTACATTGCTGCTCCGGGCGAATAAGAAAAGTAGTTTTTAATTGGTATCATGTTTAAAGTATAGATTTTCAATAAAGAAGTCTCGCGTAAAATACGTTATATAAAATCTAAGGCATGGAATGATAACATTTGCGAATGTTACGGCGTCGCGGCTGAGGGTTTCTTTTGTGAAGACTCTCCTTAACTGTAGTTAAAGCTCAAATAAACCACTGTTAATAGGACGGACAGTGTTGAAATATTAAAGTTTATTTAGTTAATATTATATACCTATATTTTCTCAAATAGCTAATCAGTAAACTATCGATGTATGCTATTATAAGCAAACCTTGCGACAGACAAATGACCCTAAAATGACCCTTCAAATTACCCTTCAAAAATGCTGACCCTAAAATCCCAGAGTCTAGTCAAATTAGTAGATTCCGTTTATTTACTCATCTCATAACTAGACCAATTTATAGGAACAACATTACCAGTGCAAAGTTATTGCATATACCTACTGAAAATAAATTAGAACATTTTGTCTCAACTTAAATATTGATGCTGACTAACTTTTTTTACCACAATTCTTTTAATTCCAATAAATGTTCCATTGGTATTGAATATACTGTTGTTTCTGTTTGCTTGATAAAAATCGAAAACAACAGTACGGTTGTGTAATATAAGTATATTTTAGGTTTATATACTTATGTTACACAACCGTACTGTTGTTTTATATATTATAGGTATATTATGTATATTATAGGTTAGCATCCTCAAATGTGTGATGCTTATTCATTTTGAAAACATTTTAAATCTAAAATTAGATATTAATATAATAAATATATCGACTTATAAATCGTATCCTCAACTGAGTGATGTGTATTCATTTTGAAAACATTTTAATCTAAAATTAGATATTAATATAATAAATATATCGACTTATAAATCGCATCCACAACTGAGTGATGTATTTATTTTGAAAACATTTTACAAATATTGGTTTTGGTTATTCATTTTGAAAACATTTTAATCTAAAATTAGATATTAATATAATAAATATATCGACTTATAAATTAATAGTAATATCTTGTAATATGTACCGTACATTTACTGAATGCAAAGAAACCAAACAAAAGGTTTCTGCTTACATCTCATTTTATAACTGTTTCGACTAAGAAATCTAGTCACAGGCTTATAGGTAACATTACTCGAAGGTGAAGTGCCATAAGAGCCTGAATACGTGCGGTGACTTTCCGCTCCTTGATATTTTTAAGTCTTCACAAATTGAATAAAACCATTTATATGGATTTTATCGTGTTTAATTAAGTAATTTTTTATTCCCGATGTTTGTTTACACATAAAAATTTGTGTCTTCACAAACTTTTAAGTGTTAACAGTTATAACATGATATGTATATTGTTTTTCTGCCGAATAATATCCTAATATATATAAATTACAATTACTTAACCGATTTTAATAAAATTTGCACACCGTGTGCAGTTTGGCTTAACTTGAGAGATAGGATTGTTTTTTTGCCCATGAGTGACCCACATTTTGCGAATTTGAGGTTTTTTAATAGGACATGATAAAGGTCGTTGAAAAGGGCAAAACAACGTCTGCTTGGCAAGCTAGTATCTATATACAATATTTCTTTCAGTTTTAAAATTCTTCTTCTTGCAATAATTAGCTTTTTAGAAGATTTACACAAGACTTTGTAATAGTTATGTATTTCAATTTAGTAATGCTTTCTCAATGTATAAATACATACAGAATGGGTCCCACATATATGCAATAAATGAAACCATATACTTGTTATCGCCTTTGCTGACGATATACAAAAAATGAACGTAATCGGTCCAGTAATTAGGTCAAAAAGTAGAGTTTTAATTTCAAGCAAATTTGAACACTCAGAATTGGGTCACTAAGTCAATGATTCAATGAACTTGAATCCTTGAACATTAAAAAGCGACGTTGCCACGCAGTGCAAACTATTGGTATCGCGACATATCGACAGCGGTGTCTTTTGTCGGCGTGCCACCCGCGTGCAACGTTGTCACTCTTCCAAGGGGTCAACGTACGTTGTCTAAACAGAGTGTTCACTTTTACTGAATTTATTTTAATATTTATTTTGTTTGAAAATTTCACTTTTTTATTTTACGGGTTTTAATTTAATATTTAATTTTTCTACACTTCTACGGACTAGTATTACTTGTGGTTTCATTTATTGCATATATGTGGGACCCATTCTGTATATATTTTTTGTTCCCCGTCTAACTACTTTGAGAATTTTGCACACGCTAATGCTTACTTAACATAACCGACATCTAAAATATTCTCGCTAAACGGAACACAATAAGGATGACCAGGCGTTAAAGTACACTCGTCATAACCTACGTTGAGTTGTAAATTTGCTTACAAATGTTATACAAAGGTATTATAAAAGATTTTATGACTGTGTTAATTATTTTTTTACTTAGAAATGTAAGACATAAAGGTAGTAAGTTTTGATAACGTATTTGTTTAGGTACGGAGATTTAATGAAGAATATAAAATGAGTAGTCAAAAGGATATTTAAATTTTTATTTACTT